AGGAGACTATGGCCATACCTACCCTTTTCTGTGCTTTACAATTATCCAACAGGAAACCATGATGGATGAAAGAAAGAAGATCACGCCAAAGAAAATACCTAGGCAGTAAAACAGGGTCATTGAATGCATGGAAAATATGACCCATAGGTTTTAAACTCTAAATATCTAGTCCCACTAGAGGTTGCCAGTGAGTTTTTTAAATGGAGCTATAAATTCTTTCAAGAAACACCTCACTCAGGCTTACCTTGAAGAGTTTCCCTCCCATCCAAGTACTAACCAGGCCCGACCCTGCTTAGCTTCCGAGATCAGAGTTTCCCTCTCCTCCTGGTTTAATCTAGCGCTCGAGTCTTACTCCCACAGGGTCATAGATGAGGGCTGAGCAGAGCAGTCTGTAACCTGTAGTCCACAGCAGCCTTTCAACAAACAGGTGAGAACAGCCCTGGAGCTCCTGGCTCGGGGGCCCCAGACCCCTGCGCTCCTGCCTTGTCTGAGGCACAGGTGCAAGCTATTCTCTGCAACAGAGTCTGCCACTGAACCACTCCTCTTAAATGGGCTTAGGAAACTGGTCTTTGTGGCTTCCAGTTTGTGCAAGTGGGCATGATACCATCCTGAAGAAATTTCCTGGGTTAGAAACCAAAAAGGAAGTTGTGCTCTCCAGCTCTGTTAGAATAGGAAGGATGATTATTCATTTGTAACAATTTAAAGTCAGTATAGAACCTTCGATAAAGAACACTCAGTCTACACATGCCTGTGAGGATACCAGTCTTGCCACACGATGGCCTGAATTTCAACTTACTTTCCTTCTAACTGAAATTGTAATGTAGGAGACCTTGATCTCTCCTTTTATGTTTCATTCACTGTAAGTGAAAACTTACTGTTAAAGGTGCTAGAGCTCCTCAACAAACTCTTCACAAAACTTACCGACTATGAGAGCATCACTTGTGCCTAAAGGGAAGACAAAAGTAGGGAAGAACAACATCAGCCTGGCACACGGCATGATCAACAGGAGATCAGTCAGTGACAATTCATCCTGATTTTTTCAGCACACAGTCTAATGTTTTTCTAATATAAAAAGCCATTGGTTTCCCTCACCCAACCTCATTTTATCTTTTGCACTCAGCAAAGTATGTTTTTTTTTCTTTTTATCTTAAAATTTTATCATAAAACACAATTACAGCATAGAATTTATAAAACAGTATAATGACCATACTACCCTGAAAAATCTACTTGGTGAAACTGTTCTAAAATTGTGGTGTACATTTTTCTAGCTTCCTAGGCAGACTATGCCTGCCTAACTACTTTTTTCTACATTTAGCTCCAGAAAGCTATTTCTCGAAGCTATGATTTCAGGATGGCTCTAGGAGGTCTTCAGGGACTAGAGAGCCTTAAATCAATCTTACTTTTCTAGGACTAATTTCTACTTCTGTCTCTTTCAGCTTGTCAGCTCTAAAAAGAATCAGAAGAATGATAGAAGAGGTTGCAAGTCGGGAGGGGCACCTGGGTGGCTCAGTCAGTTAAGCGTCTGCCTTTGGCTCAAGTCATGATCCCGGGGTCCTGGGATTGAGCATTCCATCCCCCATCAAGCTCTCTGCTCCCTGGGAAGGCTGCTTCTCCCTTTCCCACTCCCCCTGCTTGTGTTCCCTCTCTCGCTGTGTCTCTGTCAAATAAATAAAATCTTAAAAAAAAAAAAAAAGAGGGTGCAAGTCCTTGGAGTCAAATTGGCTTGGTTAAAAACCAGTTTTATTACTAAATAGCCATATATTTGCCATGTTCGTTGATTTTTCTGTATCTCATTTATCTTACCTGTATATTAGAGATCACAGTACATCTAACTCATAAGATCATTCATTCCCTAAATATTTATTGAGAACATATTATGAGCTATTTAATTCTGGGTACTGGGGACACAAGCAAAATAGACAAAAATCCCTGCCCTCATGGAGCTTTTATATATCTATATATTTACATAAATATATAGACATATTTCTCCCCACTTAAACTTGAAAACCACTTAATGGGACAAACTATTTTCATTACTTTAGGTATAATCATTAACTTGCTCAAGAGCTCATAGAATTAAAAGAACAAATGTAAAGGACTCAGAGAAGTGCTTGTCATAAAGGAAGCACTAATAGATGGATATTAGTTCTTGTTTACTGCTCATAATATATATATCTTTTTCTTCATCACAAATGTAATAGTATCCAAATAATACAGAAATATGTGAAGTAAAAATAAGAGTCCCTGTAATTTTTCTCCTGTAAAGAATTTGGCTCATAATTTATTTAGTGGACTTCTCTTCCTAGGGCATCTGTGAAATGAAGTTTCAGGATGTAATAAGCCAACAATTCTGGCTATAATCAGTATTCATCGAGGAAGCATCAAGTGATTTCTTGTCTTTTTTTTTTTTCTTCTTCTTCTTTGTCAGCGTTCTCTGGCAAGCAAAATTGCTTTGGCTGAGAACCACTGCTCTTAAAAAAAAAATCCTGAAATGTGCTGGTACATTCCTTTCTGGGACATTTTCCTGTGATCTAAGTTTTTACGTAGTTACAGACTCTCTGTACCTATCTAATATTTCAACAGTGGAATGAAGTGCTCAGTATATGTCAACTTGTACAATCATCACAACCACTGCATGCTATTTGCATGATACCACTATTAATGCTTCATTATAGTTGCACATATTTTTCATCTGGCTAATGTCTTCTAATTTACTTTTCAAAGTACATAAATTCTATGTCAAATTTGTTGACATTTTATGGTTTTCTCTATGCTATCAGAAAGCTCAAAAAGTTGGCTGCCTTCTAGCTGTTTCATAAATATTCTTACGTTTTACCTTAGCTTTGCCATGTTCACTTTTAAAACTTCTCTTTATTCCACCTGGCATTTATTATAAGATAAAAAGAAAGGGTCAAAATGTCTTTAATGCCACCTTATAGCATTTGATTATCTTTTTCTTTCCCATGGATTGATGTCTGTTATTATGTTTTATCCACAAGATACTTTTATTTTTATTTATAATAGCCTTTATTTTATTAATATCTGCTTTGTTCCATTTATTTACAAAAATAAAGTTATATTTTGCGCTGGCATAAAGTGATTCATGTATTTGTGGCTTTATATTTTGTTTTAATATCTGGTAAGTTTGCTCCTCCAATTATGTGAATTTTCTCTCTCTCACAGTCACATCTTCAGAATACTCTAAAGGCATCCAGTCAGTTCAACAGTGAGATTTTTTGCCAAAGAAATAAATATAATTTGATATTAAGGGAGTGTCAAACTTATAACTTGGAAATATTATGTGAGTCAGCTTAGTTAACATGGTTAGGGGATTAACTATAAAAAATAGATGTTGAACAACCTTAATATTCAATCATATATTATAAAAAAGAGTTACAAGAATTGTGGAGGGCAGCCTCACACTAATTTCAATTAAGGGATGATTATACATTGTTAATTTTGCTCATCAGTAACTTGATGTGTACAAGTTTAGGGTTTAGAATTTTCTATCTTTTTTTTTTAAGATTTTATTTATTCATTTGAGAGAGCGAGAATGAGAGAGAGAGAGCACATGAGAGGGCGGAGGGTCAGAGGGAGAAGCAGACTCCCTGCTGAGCTGGGAGCCTGATGCGGGACTTGATCCTAGGACTCCAGGATCATGACCTGAGCCAAAGGCAGTTGCTTAACCAACTGAGCCACCCAGGTGCCCATAGGATTTTCTATCTTATAGCACTCTCTACTTGCCAGCACAGAGCCACTCTTCTACTGAGCTCAATGATACATGATTTTTTTAAATTAATGAATTAATTTTTTATTTAAATTCAATTTTGTTAGCATATAGTGTGTTCTTAGTTTCAGGGGTAGAGTTTAGTGATTCATCATTTGCATATAACACCCAGTGCTCATTACCTCAAGTCCGCTCCTTAATGCCCATCACCCAATTACCCCATCCCCCCACCCACCTCCCCTCTAGCAACCCTCAGTTCCTATAGTTAAGAGTCTCTTATGGTTTGCCTCCCTCCCCATTTTTAACTTATTTCATTTTCCTTCCCTTCCCCTCTGTTCATCTGTTTTGTTCTTCAGTGAAAAAAGAAGATGTGGGATATATATAAAATGGAATATTAGCCATCAAAAAGAATGAAATCTTGCCATTTGCAACAATGGGGTTGGAACTAGAGGGTATTATGTTAAGAGAAATAAGTCAGAGAAAGACAAATACCATATGATTTCACTCATGTGCAATTTAAGATACATGATTTCTAAATCTGCTCTATCCAGCTATACCAGCTTAAAATCCTGTAGCCTACGCCAGTGAGGGAGACGAACTATCTTGTCTCTCCACCTTGGAAAATGCTCCCTCATTCATATTGAAATATTCTTGAAGGCCTGCTCTACCACTGATGTGCTCCTGACCTTTAAGGCCCACAGGCTATAAATAAATCATTACTGTGCCCTGCAATCAACAATAGAGTAATACAGACAAAAAAAGGTTCAGAGGGGTTCCTGAGGAGAGATGAATGGGTTGAGCAGTGTGAGAAGAGCAGGGCTTGCCTTATTGTCATTGCAAAGGGCTTTCTGGGAAGAATTAGGAGCTCCTGTTGTACTCCTTAGCTCTTAGCAGGTGCTATAAACATCACACCACATTCAATGACGGTATAGATGAATGAATGAATGAATGAACAGTAACCATGACTAAGGAAGGACCTACATGTCTTGCAGCTCCATTTACTAGATGTACATATAGCCAGAGGAGGGTTCCATGTGTCATCTGCCTGGCATTGGCTCTGGGGACTGCCTTTCAGAGTATACCCATCTTCACACTCGAAAGTTATATTATCTCCATAGCGATACACTGTTCTCATTTCCAGCTCCTTCCGGATTCCATCCATAAACTCTGGAAGGATACATTTTATCTCTGAAATTAGAAAAATCAGAAGGAAATTGATATTTTATTGTTAATTGTTAGTTGAAACTGCCGTAATGGAGAGATCTATGATCCCAAACTGCTTTGCCTTAAGCAAAGATGAGTCATGTTTTCAATCAAGAACTATTGACACCCACTCAACATCTTAGGATTTTAAATTCTCTGACTTTCATTTCTTGGGTAAAGTAAGAGAATATGGAATGTATTACACATCCACTTTTAATTATTGACACCTCTGCAACTATGGAAAGATTGGGAGTTAATGATATCCATGTTCTAACACTGGATCCACTTGGGTCACACAGTAAGGAAACAGGAATGTCACATTAATTCTCTCTAGGTATACAATAGATACTGGTATTTTGCTTCTTGATTGAATGCATGTTTCTGGCTCATTTTTATGCATAGAACAAAGAAACTAGTAAATCATGATTCTAAATTTAAAACATAATTTTCCTACTTTATTTTATCTCATTTAGCTTACTCTTTGTTTTGCTTTCTTTCTCTGCCCAGCTATCAATACCTTCTTCAACTTCAAGCAAAGCCTGCTTTTTAGTTGTAATTATCCCAACATGAGGCTAAATTATTTTTTTCTGTATAGGAACCAATAAGGTAAAGTGGTATTTCCCAAAGTATGGTCTGTGGTCTTCCTACATCAGAATATGATAACAGGTTTGTTAAAAGTAGACCAAACTCCAGCTCAAAATGTCAGAATCAGAGTTCTTAAGAATGGCGCTTAAGATCCTAATCTTAATAAGGTTCCTGGCTGATTTTGCTAATGCTAAAAACCTAGAATGACTGCTATAAAGCACATTCCAAGAGGACAGTTATTAAGACAAAAATGAATTTTACTTGAAAGCAGATGCCAAGAGAATAGAATATTACCCTTTTATTTTCAGGAGAAGAACCTTCCCAGAGTCTTAATTTGAATACTTAATCTTTGAAGTATTCCCTGAATCTTCGTACTTCTCCATGCAACTAAAGCAAGGAGGGGTAAATGTTCCTATTTCTGCAGAGACACAGGGACTCTGCAGTTTATGCAGTCCATTCTTGTAAATAAATACAGGAGAGCCATTTACCATCTCTGTAGAGGACCTCATTTTCTCTCTCTCTAAAATCAGAGTGTGGCTAGCCAGGGACTTCTGAGACTTTTAGGTTGGGGAGGAACCTTTGGTCCTATAACCACCATGGCAGCCCTTAGGACTAACTGCTCCTTAACATTTGAAACACAGGCATGTCTGAAGTCCTTCCTACCTCATCCCTGCCCTTAGCTTTGTTTTCTAAAAAGAAAAGAAGGGAGACAAAAAGCAAATTGCTAACTTACAGTTGTGCAGAGTCAAAAGAACCACATTTGAAAGGAGACAGAATATAGTGCAGTATTTAAAAGCATGGGCTGGGCAGAGGCCCAATGCTGGCCCCACCACCCACGAACTGTGCACCATGGACTAGTTACTGGGTCTCTCTCTCAATTTCCTCTTCTGTAGAATGGCAAGAATAATCCCATCTCATCAGACTCTTTTGGAGACTAACACAAGTAATTTTTATTAAAGACCTCAGTACCATGCTTAGTCACAGAATATTATTTTTAATTCCAAATTTTGTAGTTTTTAAGAATATTACCAACAAAAGATTCTAAATTTATGCAAACATAGACAGGAATAAAGGCAGTAAGTCTCGGCACTTGTTCTAGGGAAGAGATGAAATAAGCACTTCAACTTTGGTCTTAGAAATTATAATAAGGACCCATATTCAGTAATTCCAGGAATTAATTGCTCTCAAACCTTGCTCCATGCTTCAATTTTCCTCACACACACACAAAAAAGTGTGCTTCTAGCCTCTTATTTAAGGTATTTGTGAGGACCACTTGTGACCCTCTGAGGTCCTTCAGAGCTGAGATATATTATTAGTTAAAAGCCTGCAAATCATTTTAAATTGGTGTTTGATGTCAATTGTATTACTGGAAATTCCATTAGTTCTTCCTACTACTTCGGTAGAACTGAGAATCCTTGGGTAGCCTCCTTCCCATCTTTCCCCCCCCCCCGCTTTTCTCGCCCCCCTAATGACACTCATTTCACAATCTTCTCAGAAAGATCTCTCAGCCTTATTGGCTCCATGCATCCATTTTCCATTAAAAAACCCAGCAAGAATAAGAAATACCTTTGCAATAATGATCAAATTGGCTCCAGGTTCCCTGGTATGTGCAGAATATGAAGGCTCTTCCCACCAACAAGTAGCCTGGGTCACAGGTGTAGTTGACGGTCATCCCAGGAAGATATGGAGATGCATGTCCTTCAATGTAATGCCCATTGTGGATCTTGGGCAGAGGTGGGCATGCTAAGAACAAGATCCCGCCCAAACACAAGAAAAGACATTTAGTTAAACAAAGAAGTACAAATACATCAACATATCTAATAACATCCTTGACTACTAGATACACGGGAAGACCCAGGGCAGGTAGGTCTCAAGGCACCACTTATTTACCGATCAGTGGGAAGACTGATTCTTTTAATGTAGACTTCTCCGCCTTTCAACAGGATCGCCTGTATTCTCTAACCACAAACTGCATCAGATGCGGGTACCACCAGGATCTACAAACAAGCACTTCAGTGCTGTCTGTCCTCCCTGGTGCACAGAGCTTGTGTGGACAATCACAGCCACAAATGAGCCCCCGATTGTCAGGTACTGTCATTTAATGCCAGACTAATATGTAAAAGGACGGAGTTTTAGGAGAGGAGAGCACAAAGAGAACACAACCTTGAACTCCACTTCTCTAGGGCATCTTGAGTTCCCGTTGCTAAAAGTGAGACGAAGAGTCAACAAAATGCAGTCACAGGCTGAGCAGAACACTTAGAAGGAAGAAAAGGTATACAAATGCCTGCATCGGAGTTTCTTTAGTTATTTCCATAGCATCAAGTCTGAAGTAAAATAAAGCCATCAGCATTTGCTTTTTGCTCTGCACACCCATCTATCCAAGAGAAATACAACTTATTTTTTTTTTAAGTAGGCTCCATGCCCAGTAGGGAGCCCAATGCAGGGCTGAACCCACAACCCTGAGATCAAGACCTGAGCCCAGATCATGAATCAGCCGCTCAACCGACTGAGCCACCCAGGCGCCCCGAAATACAACTTGTAATAGAGATGGCACGACAGAGTATTTTCTTTGGCATTTGTTTTTAGTGTTTGGGAAAATAGTCTCTATAAAGTCTGGGCCTCACTGCTTCTCCCCACTCTCCCCCTCCTCTTCTTGCTATCCCACACTCCTCACCCCAGCGGGGAGGGCCACCAGGGTACCACCAGTTGGGACACAGTTTGGCACACCTAGAACCCAGCTGTTATTCGCCCGGCAGGTAATTCTGTGTGTCTGACTTTTATAAGAAAGCCATGTTCCCAAGCAAAAATGACTGTTCCCATAGAAATAGGGAGGTTCTCGCCTAGATATTCTGATCTGTAGGGGGCATAGGGAAATGTGCACTGACCTGCAGGACCAGCAGGTTCACAGCGAGGGGCAGGGCCGCTCCAAATCCCCCTCCCTTGACTGTCACTTGTGCAGCGAATGGTGCTCTCCCCGATGAGGTTGAAGGTCATCCCTCTGGCTGGGTGGTGGTCACATGTGTAAGTAATTTCCTTTCCATAGGGAATGTCTCCCTGAGAAGTTCCGGTGTAGTGCCCATTAGGGATAGAGGTAGGATTTGGACAAAAGATTTCTAGAAAGAAAGCAAGAGCTTTAGGTTCCATTACAGTTTCAATCAAAATGATCATACAACCATGGTGCACTGGGACTGAATTTTTGCCCTGAGAACACAACTAAGGTGGGTGGATTTAAATATGTAAGACTTTTTCAGAGAAGGAAATAACTGAAGTGAGACTTTAATTACAGTTTATTGCAAAAGTCCAAGACTCTCCAGGTAGCTAAGATTCAACTGGAAAGGCAACTGATTTGTTTTTCAGCAGCTGTTGTTTGCCTGCTTGATGTCTGGCATGAAGACAGTCCTGGGTTGACACTGGCGGTATAAGACAGATGAGGTTGGCCCTCAAAGATCTGAAGTTGCAAAGAAATCTTAGTAAATCTTTATTAAACATAGACTATTGTTTTCAGCAGATGGAAATGCTTCTTGATGATTCAAGACCATTATCATCTGTATCAATACCAAATACACAATAGTGTCTTCAGAATACACTGATTCCTATCGGGCTCTTCAGAGCCAGAGTAAGTGGCTCTAGGAGACATTTTTTGTTTTTGTTTTTTTCTTCCTTCCAAGTGACCGGCTGTCATTTCTTTCTGCTTTTAGTGTATCTGTTTCTAGCAGTTCTCTCCCTAAAACTAATTTGATGGTTTGAATCTGATATGAATTTAGAAATAGATAGCCAAGGCTGTCAGAATCGTGTGAATAAACACAGTGAAGGCCTTCATACAACGAACAGTGAGTGACTTCTCATATCTGGATTTTATCTATGTGTTTGTATTTATCTAAAGCTTACTTATGTATTTACTTTCAGATTTATATGTCTCAGGAAGGTAGAGTTTGTTGGATATCTGAGTTTTATTCATACTGGATGTTCTTACAAAGTTCCATCACAGTCCTATAAGATGTCCAAATACATTTCTAGCAAGATATTTTAACAGAATCCAGATTAAAAGGGCGATTCACAACTGAACGAAGGTGGCTCTGTATATTACATTTCTACGCACCTGTGCTTCAAAATCTAAGTGGATAGTATCTCGGAGGCTGCTGTGGATCCAAGGGAGTTGGAATCCAAGGGAATGGGGGGAACTGCCCCACCCACATTTGCTGCAACTGAGGAAAAAGTAAAACTGGAGGAAGCCAAACATGGTGGACACGCACCAGAGCTAGAGAATTTGCAGAGGTCCAGCCAGCCTGACGGGAGAAGCAGGCACCCATCCAGGCAGGACAGAGAGGAGTTTGGAGGCAGAGGAGAAGGAGGATCTTTTTTTTTTTTAAGATTTTATTTATTTATTTGACAGAGAGATAGAGAGAGAACACAAGTAGGCAGAGTGGCAGGCAGAGGGAGAGGGAGAAGCAGGCTTCCCGCTGAGCAGGGAGCCAGACGTGGGGCTTGATCCCAAGACCCCAGGATCATGACCTGAGCCAAAGGCAGCTCCTTTAACCGACTGAGCCACCCAGGCGCCCCGGAGAAGGAGGATCTTGAGGAGCCAGCTCCCTCTTCAGGGCCAGAGACTTCCCTAACGGAGCAGGTAGAAAGCAGAAGTGGTGGGTGACCGACTGGACCCATTTTTCTCCAGCTGCGCAGATTTCTGAGAAGGGACCTCTGCGACTGGGGGAGAGAGGAAAGGGAGGGAGAGGCAAACAAGAATAACAAAGGGCATTGAAGGAACCTGTTCCCTGGCCATCAGCTTTGGGATTTCAGCAGCAGGTTTGCCTTCAGACCTCTGGGAGTACCCTGACTTGAGGATTCCGCCCCCCCCCCGTTGGGTTGTGGGCACCCACAAAGTAACAGGGACTAAACCCACACCTCCCCCAACTCTGCCTTCAGCTTTTTCTACACCAACTTTTTTAAAACCAGTGCTCCCCAGTGCAGCCCAGAGCCAATGCAGGTAAAGAGAAACCAAAAACTTGAGCTATAAATCGCCACCTTCTGGAAATCAAAGGAATGGTTTCTAATTGCAATTATGTTGAACTGCAGTAAACAATTAAAGTTATGTGCTACTTCAAATGGGACGGCAGAGACACATTTTATCAAACGCTGTGAAAAATCACAGGAACATCGTATGGTAAGTGATCGATCTCAAAGGCATGGAATGTTGTACTCTAAGTGATTAAGAATTCAAAACAACTGTTACAAAGAGATTCCGTGAGCTACAAGAAAACTCAGAAAGGCAATTCAGTGAACTTGGGAATAAAATTAATGAACAGAAAGAGTTCTTTACAAAGATGTGGTGTGTGTATATATATATATATATATATACACATATATATGTAAATATATATATGATAGAATATTATCAGCCATCAAAAAGAATGAAATGTTTCCATTTGCAACCATGTGGATGGAGCTAGAGTGTATTATACTAAATGAAATAAGTCAGTCAGAGAAAGACAAATACCATATGATTTCATTCATATGTGGAATTTAAGAAACAAAACATGAACATATGGTATGGGAAACAAACAAAAAAGGAGACAGAGGGAGACAAACCATAAGACTCTTTTTTTTTTTAAGATTTTATTTATTTATTTGAGAGAGAGAGCCTGAGCTGGGAAAGAGGGAGAGACAAACTCCCCGCTGAGCAGGGAGCCCGATGTAGGGCTCAATCCCGAGACCCAGGGATCATGACCTGAGCCAAAGACAGATGCTTAACCAGCTGAACCACCCAGGTGTTCCCCATAATAGACTCTTAACGATAGAGAACAAACTGAGGGTTGATGGAGGGAGGTGGGTGAGGGATGGGCTAGGTAGGTGATGGGCCTGAAGGAGGGCACTTGTGATGAGCGCAGGGTGTTATACTTAAGTGATGAATCACTGGATTCTACTCCTGAAACCAATACTGCACTGTATGTTAACTAGAGTTTAAATAAAACTTTGAAAAAAAGAAAGAGTTCTTTATCAAAGAGATTGAAGTTAAAAAAAAGAACCAGACACAACTAAACCACTCTTTTATTTTATGCACAATAAAGTTTTCTATTTCTCTAAAACCAACCAACAAACCAACAAACCAGACAGAAATTCTGGAGATGACGAATTCAACGAATCCAATGACGAATAGGTTAGAGAGTTTAGGAAATAGGACAGATCAGATTAAGAATAGGTTAGTGACCTGGAGGATAGAAATTTAGAAATAACTCAGAAGAGGAGTGAGAACTAAGATTTTTAAAAAGTGATGAAACCCTGTGAGAGGTATTAGATATGAGAAAAACAAATATAAGGACAATGGGTCCACCAGAAGAAGAAGAGAGGGAGAAGGGAGCAAGAAGTATCTTTAGAAAAATAGTAGCTGAGAACTTCCCTAATATGGGGAAGGAATTAAACATATAAAGCCAAGAAGCTAATAGAATACCCTATTATCTCATTGCAAAAAGACCCCCCAAAATATCTTTTTTAAAAAAAGATTTTATTCATTTATTTGACAGAGACAGACACAGTGAGAGGGAACACAAGTGGGGAAGAGGGAGAAGCAGGCTTCCCGCTGAGTAGGGAGCCCAAGGCGGGGCTCCATCCCAGGACCCTGGGATCATGACCTGAGCTGAAGGCAGATGCTTAACAACTGAGCCACCCAAGCACCCAAACCTCCCCAAAATATCTTGTAATGAAACTGCCAAAAATCAGTGATCAAGGGGAAGCGAGGAACAATATAT